CTATTATACTACCTTGGATACGCCTATTTTAGCTCTGTAAATTTGGTCAAACTCATTTTAAACGGAAACAGAAGGCCCAAAGCTTACTAAAACATTGTAAAAAGCTAAATCAAGAGCTTTTTCAGATTATTTGTGAGCATCTTGGGTATCATTACAATATTTTTAATTAATGAACTCTTCCTTAATTTGCCTTTTTTTATTATAAAATTGGTCAGAAGGAATCATCTCCGACCACGTAAGGTATATATATTCTGGAACCAAATGCCAAGCCCAGTCGATCTAGCAATCGGCGGTATCGGACGATGGTACCTAACTAGTTCCAATTGGCTCTAAGACAGTTTGTTACGGAAAAGGTTAAGGATCGAAAAACAAAAATAAGTGATCAAAATGATAAAAAAAAATCTACACGATTTTTATATACGAACAATATATTGTCTTTGCCTTTACCGCGAATAATTAGTACACAGCAAGCCACAAAAATACAAATAATTCATTGATGGACTTCTGATTTAAATAAAAGCCTGGCAGTCAAAATTATAAAATATAAAGACAATTATCAAAGTGCCTTATGTAACTAGAAGCTTCAGCAGGATAACGTCAACTTGTGCGATGAATTGTTTTTATATCTATTTTATGCAAAGGATATACTATTAAAAGACTTTTGAGCCATCTGAGCCTTTCCTTTCTCTTTGATCTATGATTTTACCTTTTGGGACCTGTAGCCATGCATCACGGAACTAAGTGGTTTTGAGAGGTAAGTGGGATATCCATTAAGATATTGACTGGAAAACTCATCCAAATGGAAATGCTTAGGTCTTCCACTGTGAGCCACCGAAAGAGGGGAAATGCCAATATTTGAAATTCCAAATCGGCCTCTTCAAATCGGCTGCCGCATCAAGTTTTGCGAGTATTTCCTGGGTAATGGCCCATGCTTCTCCAAGAAGTCCCTCTTCGCTCAAAAGACCACCTTACGAAGAGCACCTTAGTAGCAGACTCTTACTCCACCTGGTCGAAGAAAATATATAAATTAATGTTCATTATATATTCTGTATACTCAGTATTCGAAGATTTTAGATATATGTACATTGTACATTGTACCCAGAAGGAAGTGTTTGTGAAGGACCTATTTCAGGCTGCGGTAAGCTCAGTCACGTCCAGGGGTCAATCCACAAGAAATTTGTAGAAGTAGATGGAGCTTTGAGGGAGACGTCGGGGTTGGCCTATCTTAGAGTGGGTGGATCGGGGCTGAGATGAGCGCTGCTCGTCGTGTATATTAAACGGTGTGCGTGGACTTGGGGTGGGGTAGTGTCGGTGCCTCGGCTAGTTGGAATGAACTTACGCATTTGGATATTGTTCTGATGATTAGACACTTTATTATGAATATTATAGCACTTTTTAATTCTTAGTTGGTTGGTCTGGAGTGGGGGAAGTCCGCGTGACCTGGTGTGTTTGGTCAGGGTTATGGAGTCTTCGCGTGTCGATCGGTGGCTAAGTGTGGAGGGGGATGTTGGTAAATAATATGTATATGCGGGGTTTGTGTGAGGCGTTGTAATTTAGCAGTGGATTCTTATGTTTATAATACGTCGGGCGAAGGATTGTATCGAACCCTTTTAGGTTCGTTACATGTTTCCGACACTATTCTTAATCAGCATCAATAAGTGCCTAGATTTCAGAGACTATGAGAGTTAAAGCAACCAAATATTGTGTGCAGACTCTTGTGAGTACCGCCCCCACAAGGGCGAAAATCTGTGGCATTCGTTACTTTAAAGATATGAAAAAACTAAAAGCGCAGAATCATTGAGCCAACAGGAAAAAATGAGGGAACAACATTCTCTCTCTATATATCGCTCACACAATCTTACTCATGCAGTGTACGCACCCTGGAAGAGGAGAACGAGATAAAACGGCTGTGCTGGTGTGAGAATTGAGAAAAAAGATGTGCAAAATATATTCTATAATTCGAATCAAATAGGTAATTATGTGAAAATATGATAAACTAAACTTTCTGTCTATGTTTTACCCATCTCTCATGACTACTGCTAGAAAAGATACGTGGACAGATTACAATCACCCTTCACATTAACCAACAAATCGATTCCTTCATTAACTATGATAAGCGATACCAAAAGAAAGATAGAGAGAGAGAGAGAGAATGCGGCAGTCATAGTTACGTAGAAATCACTGGCTGACTTTCGGGTATAAAGTAGAGTCACAGGTATAAAGTATAAAGTCAAAGAGTATAGGGATATATTAGATTTCTGGTGAAAGTGGATGAGTTTCCGACCGCGTAAAGTATATACTATATTATTGATCAGCATCAATAGCCGAGTCGATAGAGCCATGTCCGTCTGTCCGTCCGTCCGTCCCTATGAGTGCCTAGTGCTCAAAGACAATAAGAACTACAAAAACGACATTTTTTATCCAGACTTCTATGATATGTCACTGTTACAAGTTTATTTCAAAACATGGCACGTTTCATGGTCGGCTTTGCCTATCGCTAAAAGTGGACGCCTAGATCTCTGATAATATAAGAGCTAGAGCAACCATCTTTGGTATCCATACTCCTGTGATATCGAGCCTGCGCAAGTGTATTTCAAAATTTAGCCCCACTTTTCTCCGCCCAAGCAAAGGACGAAAATCTGTGTCATATAAAGATCGCAAAGACTATTAGAGCTAGAGCAACCCCATCCCTTTCCGCTCTCACAAAATACGAAAATATGTGGCACTCACAATTTTGAATATATAATATCATAGAGAATGACCATATTTTTATTATAGCCAAAAGATACAAATCAATTTTCGGTTGCTACGCTGCGCCCGACGACACGTTCAGACTGATTTTCTGTCTCTCTCGAACGCAATCTTTTTCGTTCAATGCCGGAGGTGAGCCACTATTGCGTAGAGTGGCGGTCGCAGCAGCAACTCACAAAGTTCCCTCTCGTTTTTATTTTGAGTGCTTTAGCGTAACTCAATGCGATTTTGTCTGAAAAAATCATATCATAAATGCATGTAACCGCCATAAGAAAACTCGGTGAAAAAACAGGTCATTGCTCGACTCGTTTAGATATTGTGTGAAAATCTTCAAATCCAAAAGTATTTACATGGATATAAATCTATTAGGTATAGCAGTAAAGGAAGGAAACATATCGACCAAAATTTAGATAAAGTTTCCTGTAAGCCAACGAAAAGTATAATCTTCGATCTCTCCTGGCGTAATTTGTCAATTTGCCTGCAATTTGTGTAAATCATATTTATACAAAAGATAAGAGTTCAGGAAACACAGTTACATAATAATTTATTTAATCTTATGACATATTTGAAAACAAGACTATTAATTCTAGATTTATTTTATTTAAGCGCTGTATTTATTAAGTTACCAAAGCGAGAAGAGAAACGAGACTGTAAGGAAACTCAGTGAAAGCAAGGAAAATTAAAAAAAGGAACTAAAGGAAAGCAAACAACATAAGGTCGCCGAATCAGCAAGCTTCTTGTGGCATTCTTGACTAAGGGTGTGCCGAAATTGTCCTGATTTCCTCATGTGCAGTATGTAGTTCGATTTAAATTCTGTACGTGTAAGAGCATGATGTCTATGAATAAATTCGATGCTGAGAGGTTGTTCTCGCTGAGTCAACATCGAGGCCGAGGCCGAGGTCCTCTGCGGTGTACTTACCGAAAGACAAGTGGTAGAAAAAGAAATCAGGAAAAATAATAAAAACGGAATTGGGTAATGCGGATAAGTACAATATTTCGGCAGGGTTAACATACTTTTGAATTGTGTGTATATTTTGCACTTTTGCAACTTGTTGTATTTTATTCACAATAATTAACTTTTTAAAAAAGAGAATTGCTAATTCTATATTAAAATTCACTAAACAAACTATAATCGAACATAATCATAAACATAACCGACTTTAGACTACAACTTATCGAGGGTTTTGAAATAATAATACAAGAACATGAATATAAAGCAGTTTGTGAAATCATCTTCATCAAGTATGTATAGGAATAATTATACATATCTAATGAGAGGCGTACATAGGTAAAGGTATAGGTATCGGTATAGGTTTAGGTTTAGGTTAAGCATACGAATATAATGCTCGGGGCAAAACATTAACAAAAATCGATAATTACACAACACAACTAAACTTAGACTTAATATCAGGATCAAGCGGAGTCGATACACATGAAAATATATGTGTGCATATGTACGTGTATTATAGTACTATATTTAGTTATATAAGTAGCTGTTACTGTATGCTAATTTACTTCCTCCTCGACTGCGCCCCCTCCATCTCCATATCAAATCTGTGGGTCCTGGCCTCCGCTGTCACACTTGCTTACTTCAGTAAATTGTATTCTTCTTTTCTCTTAAGTTTCCTTTTTGTTTCTTTAGCTTTACGAGTAGTTTTCTTTGCTTTAAAGTTACGTTGGATCGAAAGCGACTTCAACTATATAGTAAACATGCACACATCGAAATCTTACGAGGTTACCATTTGCTAAAATCGAATCCGAATTTCATTATACACATTTAATATTCTTGTGTATGCTTTTCATATAGTAGTTCTCAATGTCTTAGTTTATGTACAGGAACTTAGAAGGTATCAAGGGACACGACACAACGAACATTATACGACAAAATTGATCCTAAATTGTGGCCATAATCTATCTGGGTATGGGCAAGTGTTTGACTGAGAGTGTGAATGTGTGTGTGTCCGTGTAGTGGGGTGAAGGGATTGATGGGTGAGGCGACTGACAATTGTTAAACAATTTTTGCTTGTTTCAAGAACATTTTCTGGGTCTAAGATGTGCTCAACCTAATTCAGCTGCAATCTAGCTGCACTTACAAAGATAAATATGGTAAAATCTACTACTCGAACGCTTGTTATTCGTAATTTATAGGGGTAATATTCACTGATGTTTAAGTATATTCATATTTATAGATCTGAAAATTCATAATGCTCGCTTAGGTTAATGAGAGCCTTGATAGAAATACATACATACACGTTCATACATATATATATTTCCATACAAATTGCAAATTTTAAGTGTATCTTTTTCTGCATCTCCATCTATGTATACCGCCTGCTGCACCTCGCTACCTGCTCATATCTATATTCAACTACTGAACTAAGCTGCCGTTATCGTCTATCTGCAAATGGGTATCTGTTCTGAATGGTTGTGTCGTTCTTGACAGCTGTGTCTGCTCATTAATGGATCTCTAAGAACTGACTTATTAATTATATGCATTTCATTTAAGGTATTATCTTTTCATTTCCTTGGGGCCGCCCTGCTTTGGTAAACAGCGACGCCAGCTCATTCCAGGGCTTCTCTACACCTTCTCCACACCCAGACCCAGATCGCTTCCCGTCCCTTCCCTTCCCTTGCCGTCCTGGCTAAAAAGAGCTCAGGTGTTTTGTAGATTTTACCGAATTTCCTCAAAGTTGGCCGAGTCTAACATGTCGGCTAACATGGAAAGTCCAAGGCCAGCTCGTTCTTGATTAGATGGGCGTTCGGTTCGAGAGCCGGGTTCGGATTGGGATTCATGTGGGGGTTCGGACTCGGGTTGGCTAACTGCTAGTAGGTGGGGAAGCCCATGGTGCCGGCGCTGCTGTTGTCCAAAGGTCACTGGTGCATCTTGGTGGCGTGGTGGCCCATGCTCAGACCGAGGTTCAGGTGATGGTTGTTGTGGTGCTGCTGAGCCGTCTGCGAGTGGTTGTGATTGCTGCTGGAGTTGTTGTTGTTGTTCTGCTGATTAGCCTGGCGCTGCGAGTTCTTCTTGTTCTTCATGCGTCGATTCTGGAACCATATCTTGACCTGTAAACAAAGAGCAAGAGAGTCCAATGAATGAGCATTTGAACCTCCAACCATCTCTGCATGGGCACTCACCTGGCGCTCGGTCAACTGCAAGTTTCTGGCCAGCTCCCAGCGCTTTTGCTTAGACACGTACGCGTTGAACAGGAACTCCTTCTCCAGCTCCAACGTCTGGAATTTCGAGTAGGGCTTTCGCTTTTTCCGCACCGACACCGCGCCGGTCCACTCGTGCAAGGTCGGCGTGCAAGGACCCACAGCTCCCACCGATACGCCTCCGGAGGCTCCTATTGAATAAACAGAGAAATTTCATTCAATATTTTTTCCATTGACTAGGTGCGGGTGGTCCAACAATTGCGGTTGTCGTTGTTGCCATATCCCCATATCAGATCGTTAAATTTATAGAGCAATTAGGAAAATTGTTTAGCAATTAGCGTAATACAAAATTATTCAATTCAGCGTTTATGGGCTCTTTATTGGTGCGGTACGGAAAGCGAGTTCGTCGAACTGAATTGGCAAGAGGCCCATTCACATCCGAACTGTTGAATGCATTCGTTCCTGCTCATTGAGTACTGTACTCAAATGAAGCAGACCAGATGTGATATTCAAATACTTGATCTAGACCAAATAATAATAATAACCATTAAAAAGGGTATTTAAACTTTAGATGCGGATCACTAAGGTGGTCGTTTAAGCCGAATTGTCTGCTTTGTACGGAATATGATTACTTTTGTATGTTATGAAACATTTTCTTACGAAGCGCAAATATTTGTTAAACATAATTTATTTGTTCGATAACAAATACAAGATTTTCAAGATTTATTTCATCCCGTTTTCCAGTTGAACGAATTTTTGTTCTAGCTGTAGAAAGAAGATAGTAGCGTCTCTTTAGGTCTTTAGGCCTGGAATCATTCCAAACACATATTTATACAGATTTGATTGGCGAGGGGTGTACGATCATCAAGCACAAACATTGTAGATAGTCAATGCTTGGGGCACGGCCTCGAGCATACCTCCTAGGTTCTTCCGACTTTCACACCCACTTTGAGGCGTAACGCAAACCAAACAGTCGGCATTAATTTATGAGGTATTTTGCAGTGCGCTAATTGAACGGCAAACTTGCAGTTTCGCAATTTGCCATTCCGACAGCGACAGCGACAGCCACACCGACAACAACAAGAACGTGGCATGGAAAATCTGTGTGCATTTGGATATGCCAGGGTACGTACCTGTGCTCGAGTACGCCTCGCCCGGGTATCCGCGCAGTCCCCCTGGGGACGAGTAGGTGGGCGTTTCGTAGCTGGACTGCGAGGTTCCCTCCACCGACTGTCGCGCCGCAGCCGCCGCGCTCACCGTCACATGGCGGTCGTCGCTGGCGCTCATGTAGGCCGCTGCTGCGGCGGAGGTCGGCTGATCACGGTAGTTGGCCCAGTATGGCTGCAGGGGGGCAAGCGGCATGGGAGGATGGGAGGAAAAGCGACGATAAGAAGTTGGCAATGAGTTGTTTACGAGACGGAGACCTCGAGCACTCACCTGAAACTGGGTATCTGGGTAGTAGGGGAACATGGGCTTGCGGTCGCGCTGTTCCATATAGTATTGCGAGGCAGAGGCGTGGTACTGGTTGAAGCCGTCGTCGTTGTAGGGCCAGGGGGCCGCGTGCCGCTTAACAGCCACCGAGGCATCCGTCTCGAAGCCAGGACCGGGCCGGATTGCGGGTATATGAAGTGGCGCTAATTGGATGGACATATTGATGTCTGAAAACAGAGCAAGTGCATATTATTACATTTGATTCAATTCGAATATTCCCAAGTGGGACAATTTTCATATTACAAATTAGGATTCTTCGATTAGATCTAGATCTTGATCTCAACCACATTCGAAACCATATATTTCTAAATCAACAACAGAATGGGAATTTGATAAATGTCAATTACAACCAACAACTAGTTCTATTATAGTTTCTCTATCAAAACATTTCTAAATGGCAGAATTTCTTAATAATTGGTATTGTTTCCAATTCCCAAAAGTTTGCTATTGAGAGCTCTAGAATGATTGTTGGCAGAACAGCATGTGAGAATTCGGTATCGGTCTTCATGCAAGATTGAATTCAATCGCAGTCTGTTCAATGACAGTCCATATCAAAGGTCAATGGTGGCCCTCTTATCAACTATGGGACGGGGATACATATAATGACTTCATCAGAAACCGACAATTCTTAAAACCCAGATCAGATGCAACTTATAAAGGGGTATCTAAATTTGGCTTATAATTTAGTACTACCCACTCGGCACCATAGATATGTGGACGGCTCCAATTCTGGACGAAAATTTTAAAGGATATGTTCGGGCTCTGCTCACCTTCCTTCTGGGAACTAACACTGGAGGGAGAAACGCTCGCCGTGCTCGGCGCCACAATTTGGGCCTGCCCAGATGTGACCACAGCATTCTGCTGCTGCTGCTGCTGCTGCTGCTGCTGTTGGAGACCTGACGAGGCGCCACTGGGTACGCTGTTCGGTGTCTGCTGCTGCTGCTGGGGCATTTGCTGATGGTGGGGAGATGTGAGATGCTGTTGGGGCTGTTGCTGTTGATGCTGTTGGGCGGAGCTTCCAGTGGGTGTCTGGGCAGGGCTGAGAGTGACAGCCACCGGTGTTGTTGCCAACTGTTGTTGCTGCTGCTGTTGTTGTTGTTGTTGCTGCTGTTGGTGCTGTTGTTGTTGTTGTTGTTGTTGTTGAGGAGCGGGAAGATGCTGGAGAGCCGTCTGCTGCTGCACGGCGGCGATTGGCACAGGTGGGGGATCCTCGTACATGACGGCATGCGTGGGCGTGGAATGTGTAGTGGGCGTAGTCTGCTGTTGCTGTTGCTGTTGCAGCACAGATGATGGAGTGGACAACGCAACCGACGCGGAGGAGACAACCGAGTGCTGCTGCAGGTGGGAATGCGCGCTCTGGTGGAGACTGGCGGTGTGGAGAGGCTGGGGCTGAGGCAGGTGGTGGTGCGCGTGATGATGCAGTTGATGCAGATGCTGCGAGGACTGCTGTAGCTGCTCCTGCTCTTGCAGGTGCTGCTGTTGTTGCTGCTGCTGCTGCTGCTGCTGTTGCTGCTGTTGTTGTTGCTGCTGTTGCTGATGGTGGTGCTGCATGGCAGGATGCGGATGCGGATGCGGATGCGGGTGGGCGTGGGCGTGTGGGTGAGGGTGTGTGTGATGCCCCCACCACGCCCCGGCAGCGGCGTGCGACCCGACTGCCGAGACATCGTGGGGGTCGTAGAGAGCGCACGCCAGCGGGATGGTTGGGGTTTGGGGGAGGGGTGGAATATTTATGGTTATCTTGAACGCGTTTCAGTCAAGCGGTTGCAACGAAAAGCACGGCCGGCACACACACAGAACGTGTGTGGATGGGGCTGAAGCTGGTGGTGTGCGAGTCGGGCTTTGTGGTACGATCGACTCGACCCACCGACCCAATCTTTATCTCTTTTTTCCACGTTGCACTGTTGATATATTTCTAGTCGATGTATTTTACACTCTCAATTCGATTAGATTCGCTCTGCTTCGATTCGATTTTAATTTTCAATCAAACCGTTTTCCAATAGTTTTAGCGTACCGCACACGCAACTAACAAACACACACAGACGAGACCCCCGACTCATGCACGCACTCGACACGCACACACACGCGCGTCCTCAGTAAAGAGCGGGTCGAAGAGAGTCGACGTCAGAGTAACGTATTTCGTTGGGCTGGGCAGGGGGCGGAAGTTGATTCGATCGAAAGCCAAAGAGACACGGATGATGTGAAAGCGCACAGGGTGTTCGTGGTGCTCAAAAAGTGGAGCAGTATTTTCAAATTGGGTTTTCCGACTTGTTTCACGTTTGTTTCAGGTGATTTTGCTTCAGTTTTTTCCGATTTTCTCGGGCACTTCTCACTTATCGTCCGGCTGTTGTCTTTCAATTTAATAAATAATAAAACCTTGTAATAGCGGACGCTTTCGGCTCTTGGTGCTCTGCTAGTTCATGCCGGCACAAATCGCGGACTCATTTGCAGTGCGTACTGTAGGCGGTTGGCAGTTGGCCGTTGGCTGTTGGTTGTTGGTTGTTTGGGCTAGCTTTTTATGCTGCCGGTCATAAAATCCGATTTTACGACCAAAACAAACAATTAAACACAACGCTTGCAACAGCTAACCAAAATGTTGCTATTTTTTATTCCCATCGCTGGTGTTGTGTTTCGATGTCGGCTGTTCAGGTTGGACATTTGTGACTGCGATCTGCGATTTTCGATTACCGAGGTGCGATTTCCAAAACGCTCAACTTATTTTCGAGCCGCGCGAGAACAGCTCTCGGAACTGAATGGAACCGAATACGAATACGAAACACCCAAGTCCAGGTCCTCGGTGGCTGCTTTGCTGTCGCTGTTGCCGTTTCGTTTCGTTTCTGTTTCTATCGCTCTTTGTTGCTGCTGTTGTTGTTGCTTGGACGCCCGCACGCCTTCCAACCGTACAGAGCGAAGCACAAATTTACAATGCGACGACGTCTGCGGCAGCAGCAAAACAGAACCAGAAACAGCAGCAGCGACGCGGCAGCGGCAACGGTGGAGACTCGTCTTGTCTCACTTCGACTCGACTCTCTCTCTCTCTCGTCGACGGGTGACGCGCCGTAAGAGTCAGAAAAGTCAAGATGTGAACATGAACACCGTCGGCCGTCCGTGCCGTTACGTACAAGAGAGTCCGCGCAGGCGCAGGCGCTCGCGCTGGCGCTGGTGGTGGTTCTTTCTGCGCTCTCTTCTGGCGCATTATGCTCACGTACAGTGTACAGTGTGTACAGTGTGTATGTGGATCCAACGCTGCCGCTGTGTGGGTGCACGCTGAAGAGAGCACGGAATCTGGGACCCCAGCAGCAATGCTCTGACACAGGCGAGAACAAGTCTGTTGGAGCTGCGGCTACGAATATATGTACGTCTGAAGATTGTCCGTCCACTAGCAGCGGACAGTGTTCAGTGTTCAGTGTCCACTACTCAGAGCTCAGCAGGTGCCTGGCGGGCAGACGCATGCCAGCACACACACATGCACGCACACTGCCCAAAGCCACACGTACAGTGTACGTGTGCACGCCCTTGCTCTTTGCTGCCTGTCACTCGCTCTACACCATACCATCTCCGACTCCACGCTCAGGAGCGTTCTCTCTTGCGCCCAGTCTGCTTGGGGGCTGATTTGAATATATCGCGAGCCGCAGCGCCATCTATGGCCCAGATTTGTCCGAAGGGGTCGGGCCACATACATTGTAGATGTACTGTAGTTGTTGTTGGCTCGCGATGTTGTTTTTTTTGTATCGATTGCGACTTGCGGCCGCCCCAAGAGCAGAAGCAGCAGCAGCAGCAGCAGCAGCAAAGTAGTGCTTGGGGAGGGAGTCGTCTACTATTTCAATGGGAAGGAACAGGAAGGGGTGGGGTTCGTAAAGTTTTCCTTCGCGCTAATTAATGATAATGAGCAAAGCAAACAAATTCGTGCGCGGGCTCACTCGGAAAATTATGACAGCAGCCAAATTGAGATCACAATTACAAACAACCCCGTCGCCGCTGTATCTACGGGTCTCCGTCCAAACTTAACGCAGCAGCGGACAATTATGGGAATTTTATGGCCATTGCCATTGGAAAAAGAAGGTACAAGCATGGGACAATGGCAGGGAAATGTTAACAAATCATAAAAAGGATGCAAGTGCCCAGAGCCGGTTTGAGGACAGAACGCAGCCAAACTCGCAGCCTACTTCGGCAACAATTACTCGAGACTAACGTTACGGAATCTAGTGCACACCCTATCTTTGAAATCAATTTTAAAACGGAACCCAATAGAGGCACATATGTACATATGTATGTCTCAAGATGCATCCAATTCTCCTACCTGAATTCGACTATTTAATCACCTTTCTTATATATGTATATGTTTTGTTTGACATCCCAAACAAATGAAGCTACTAATCTCTGGCTAAACCCGGACATTGATAAATTTAACTCCTGGGTGAAAATCGGGATTCGAAACATAGAAGAAACTGGTTCCACAATACTATATAGGGACGGATACGTCGAATTGGGGAAAAATCATCAAATGTAAGAAACTAAAATTTGAATCGTTGTTGATTGTAATATCTGTATGAACGAAAAAGTCATCCTCACATAGAATTTGTTTCAGACCGAATTCCGAGTCTAATCGATCTAATCGTTTCCGACATATATACGAGCCTTATGCAAGGAAACAGTGCGGTTACATTGGGTATAACATTACTATTTGGGGAAATGGTAGTATAGTAGAATAGTCTCACCTGTGGGATGGGAATTGCCGCTGGAGGGGGAGATACTCGTCGCTGTGGGCGCAACGAGATGGTTATGGCCGGACGCCACCGCTGTGACTTGTGCTGTTTCTGCGGTTCGTGAGTGCAGCGGAGACTGTGCCTCGGGCGTGGTTTGTATTCTTCTGCACGCAGCTTAGAACTGAAATGGAAAACAGACCATATAAAAATATCATATCATCAGACTTATATCCAAAGTATGGTGTCCAAAAACTTATTAATTAACATACAATATGTACGGAACTCTTATTACTAAAATGCATCAGTGATTCCCTTAAGTCCGTGACGTCCTGTAATAACAAGCTCCATCGATAAGAGAGGAATTTGTTGTATAAGGGAAGATGTCTGTTGTGGTAGCTCATGGTTGTCCTGCAAGGAAAGGGACGATGGAGAGGAAGTGCCAGCTCGAGCTGTCGTCATCTTTCGCCTTTATGGCCGGCGCAAACGGCTTGTTTGCATTTGACACCGCTCAGGTAATGATGCAAGGCAACTCAACAGCCAACCAGGAAACAGAAACGTTCACGGTGCAGTCAGCGGAGAGCCGGATGAAGGATGAAGGATGAAGGATGCCGCGCGCACTTACTGCGATTCCCCGCAGTGCCAGCACGGAAGTGAGCGCCGGGACCTGGCCGGGGTTGAGGCAAGCAGACAAGGCAATAACGACAGACAGCCGTCAAACACGTCGTAAAATCTGTTTCCTCGTTTCGCATTTGCATTGTGCAACATGCTGCTGTTGCTGCCCCTCACTGACTTCCCGAAGGCGGTATCAGGGTCAAAGTCAATTCCTACACACGACCATTTGTATTTTCATGCCCAACTACATTTCGGATAGCTCCATGTGCGGCTCAAGAGTTTCCCGTTTGCTTTGATCGCCACTCGCTTGGGCTGAAAATTCCTCATACTTTCGTATACCTTTGGCAGCAGAGATCTGCAGAATAGGAGTTGAGATCCTAATTCTTGGGCCGCTGGGCCAACGTCTAGGTTGTATGAAGATTCTTGAAAATCGTACGTGTACTTGGGGTCAGCATAGAGTGTCCAACCGGTATCAGAAACTTTCTCAACTGATTGAAGATCATGTGTCATTCAAATTGCTTTCGTGTAGTTTATTTTTCTGGGATCAGCTAATCCTCCAGCTCGCTCACACCGTTGTGGGAAGATACTCGCAAGTTTATTGGGTGTCACAATTATCGTGAGTAATTTGTGTTTTTGTCACCAAGACAAAGTCTTTCATTCTCCTTTTTTTTCCTCTGTCTCTTGAGGAAAAACGCAGAGCCATAAAAAGAATTTCTTCAATTTTTAACGATTCCCAAATTTGAATAAGTTAATTAACAAAATTAATATTCAAATAGGTTTATGGTCGCGATGGCGGCTTATGGCTTCATCATGTGAAATCGTCCCAGTCCCAGGCCAGGTCTAGCCGAGCCGAAATTTAAATTCAGACAACAATAAACCTACCACAAAATATAATCATTCCAAACAAATTCACATGCAATATGTCCAAAGAGGAGAAAGAAATATGGTGAGAGAGAAGTTCATTGGCTCTGCCCGGTGGCCACGCCACTGCCACCATAAAAAAGAAAAGAAAAAAAAAAAACAAACAGCCAGACAGAAATTTCGGGTTCCCGGATTCTCGGGTCTCAGATGCTGCGGAGAATTAAATGAGATAAAATGAAATTCATGTTATCCAATTAGACACAGCCAAGCTCGTTGACGCACCTCTCCCTCTCCCTATCCCTTTCCCAATCCCTCTCCCTCTCTCTATAGGCGTACCGTCGTGCGATCTTTAATGATCTTTCTCCCAGCTAATTATGATACGTCTCTCCATCGCGCGGAGCCTTTAATTGCCTTGAATTTCTTCATTCTCGGAACCCTTTGGCCTGGACCGTTTTCCGTGTAAAGAGTGGCGGTCGCGGAGGTAACCAAAGACGGATCAGAGATAGGAGACTCCGCTCCGATTCCGAAAGTCTAAGCTCCACAGAACCAGAACTGTCGATGAACAGTTTTCTGCGTTTTCGAAGTTTTCCAGGGGAGGCCAGCAAACAAGTTCTCTCATTCCTGTTTTCGACAGATCATTAAAACGTGTTCTGTGCCGGTGACTGGCCTTTGCTTTTGGATTTCTACGAAAAGAGCAAGCCAGAAATTGGGCAACAGCCGCCATAATAATCCGACTGAAAGATACAAAATGCACACAGACACACTCGACGAGCCATATTTAGAACAAAGAACGAGCACGGATGGCGAGCAGAAAGGAGGCAGCAAATGAAATACATACTCGTATCGTGCTGACAGCTTCCATGCGAGACGTTTTGTGGAGAGATGTCAGATGCAGATGCAGCGCCCTACTACCACCGCCATCCGTGAGATACCCGAGCAGTCGTGTCGCCTGAACATGGCCACCGCCCCTAGGTCCTCGACAAGAGTGATCGTCTCTCCCTCCCCATCTCCCTTTACGACATTTCTCCCTCTGGCTTGCTCAACATTTGTTGCGTTTCCATTTTTGGCAACATCGTCTGGCCCGCTTCCATTGTGCCACAATTTATGATTCGAAATGGCTTTGTTTAATTATGTACACAAAATGACAGATCCCATTGTCCGCAGGACTAGTAATTGATTGTGCATTCACATATCATCTAACGCTACTTCTTGCCAATGGGAATTTGTCGAAGGTTGTCCGTAATGTGAAAGATCGAAAGAGCTCTCAGTGCTTCAGTCTGGCCTACACTTCTGTGTGAATTTTGCTTTGAATACTCAACTATTCAATCCCAATTGAATGCATCGTAGATGAATGTAGATTCCCCATTTATGAACTACTTAAGGCAGCTTCTGGTTTATTGTTCTGGACTATAAAAACTCACTCAAACCTGATCTCGCTGACCATGTGCGGTAGAACACTTTTGGGATTAGAGGTGGCCAACCCTCTTAAGATGATTGGATGGCCCCTTTAAAAGGGGCCAAGGTCGAGGTGTGCCGCCGAACTTCAAGCAGGTTAAGTACAGCTGAAAGAGGATACCTTGCTGATAGGTATTCTCATCCCCTTGAGCATAGTAAGGTGTAGCCCAATGGTCTGTATGCAAAATGCAAAGAAGTCGGATGGCAGCCAATATTAGCAGAGATACACACATCCGTGCAATACAGTGGCCCGTGGTTTATCGTTCATCGTTCATCGTTTATCGTGCCTCCCATTCATACAAGTTTAAGTACCTGAGAAAGTGCCGTGTCTGTTGTTGGATGTTGTACTTAAGCCATATTTTAGTACAATAAATCTAACTAGTTAACTGCCTTTTATTGCCAGCAAAGCGTTTTACGACAAACAGACGGCCGAACTGACGGGCGGACAGACACAACTCTTTGAGTGAGTTGTATGTGACGAGTGAAATTGTATGTAGATTGCATTATATATTGTAATAAAAGTAAAATAAACACCCTGAAATTAAAGCAACACTTTTGGCCACTTTATGGGGAGTCGGCAGCAATCCGAGGTGGTGCAGAATGGAACGGAATGGCAGTGGAGCAGTGGAGCGCAGTGCCATGCAGGTCTGGCGGAGTGGGGCTTTTATGTTCGGAATTAACTCCACGGAAACTAGGAGGCGCCGTGTCAAGTCTGTTCGCCCGTGTCTGTTTCAGTTGCTGGGCCCTGCTTTTGTCAATGGAGCCAGCTGGTTATTGGGTCACAAATTCGAGCATTACTTTCACCTTCCATTGCAGAACAGCAACCATATTCATCCGTCGTTCCCCATAACAGCCAACGACCTTCGGGACATCATAAACTTAATTATACTTCTACACGTGGAAGGGACTGGCAAAGCGGCCGTAAAAGTAGATAAATTTGCAGTCAAATCAGTAAGTCACCGCTGCCAAGAGTCCTCACTTGTCTTGTCTGAACATCGCTGTTTTGTTCGAAAACGAAGACGAATTAAGTGGCGGGTCCACCTGAACTTGAACCACCTCTTTTATGGCATTTCTTTTCCCTCCACTAGCATACAAATCGCGGATTGCTTCGAGGTTCTCAGGCTGGATTCTGGCTGTTTAAATTTGAGAGCTTTGAATGAGCTCTAATTGATTTGCAATTCGCTTTCATTTGATTCATTGACTGGCACCTTGGCCACTAAGCGACCTGGCTCGTTGTTTGACTTGCTTTATGACCAGTGGGCCAATGTGTTAATTGCTCTGCCCCACTCCACTCCACTCCACTCGACTCGACTCCAATAAGGTGTTAATACCATGTTTATGGGCATTAAATTGGCCACCAGTTAAAATTCCAGCAAACACGACGAGAGTTATGGTGTCGTTAGGCCATTTCATGGCGTCTCAGCTCATCCCCATCCCCATCCCCATCCCCATCCTCATCTCCATCCGCGTACACTCGCATCCCCACACTCTTGTGCTGTGATAAAAGGCGAGCAGTCGAATGCAGAGCTGAATTTCATGCCAGATTAATTGTCATAGAACTCGTGAAAATCAAGCGGAGACTCCTACTAGGGATAATTGCGCGGGTCGGAAGTGGAATCAGAATTAGTGTCAGATTCTATGTCAGGGTCCTGTATTCCCCAACGGTTTTAGGGACAATAATTTGTACAGCTTTACAGTTTTCGGCAAAATTGAATTTAGAATAGATTTTAGCCAGGCCTAACTTCCCCCTAACGCTAAGCCGAGGCTCAGACATAAAACTCACTTTGTCCAAAAATAAATGAAATCATCAATTTCTTTTCTCCCTATTCCTATTCCAGTTCTCCATTCCCTCTTCCCTGTTCCCTCTGACCTCTTCGTATTCCCTGTCTCCACATTGGCATCTAGCCCGGCTGGGGATGGAAAGTTGGTTACATTGTCGGTTTCTTCTGGGAATTTGCTCCGCTCTCCTTCATTTATCTTTCTTGCGCCGTCTCTGGGTTCAAGGAGCCAGCACAAAGGCGACTGGCTCATTTACATAAGCATAATTTCCACATAGAATAGTTACATGGCTAAAAAGCACCCCTCCACCGAATTCCCAACCTCTTCCAACCACCTCCTCCTCTCCTGCCAAAGTCAGCAAAATATTTATTCAAATAGCGTGCGCAGGCCCTTCCCCTTCCCATCCCCGCCTTGCCAAAGGTTAATTTCAGTTTGGATATATCAACGGGCTCTGTCGCTGGGCCCGCAACCCTGACAGCCACCCACGCATCCCTTCCGCTGACGCCGCTGGAGGCAAGAGCCAACGAAAGCCACCCCCGCAAATGGCAGGCAGTCGCGATAAGCAAAGTCAAAAGCATTCAAGGATAAAAGTAAAAATGTATACAGCTAGAGTTAGACAGAGAGAGAGAAAGTAAAAGAAAGAGAGAGAGGGAGAGAGAGAGAGAGTTTGAGTAAGGAGAGGAGAGCCAGGGAGGACAACGATTTGGGGCGGCACACGAGCACGAGCACCAGCACGAACCACCCCAAAAGGAGACCAGGAGGGTAGCCGAGTTTGAAAACACTTTTGCTGACGTTGTCGGCGGCTGTACACAAGCACAAACACAAACACAAACACAAGCTCACATACTCGTACAACAGAGGGGCCAGGCCAGGGTTGGGGTTGGGGGGTGGCAGTCTGCCTGGCGTATTTGTTTGTGTTGAGGAATATCGATCCCTCTTGGGTCGTTGGCTGCACTCAATGAGTTCTCAATTTACTTTGTGCCCTGTCTTCCGCCCCACACTCCGTACTCTACAGCTCTCCACACTACACCCTGCCACCCGACAGCGCTCGCTTTTTCGTTTCTTGGGTATAGAATTGTAAGTATCTGTAGATACGATTCAGACAAGTCATTCCATCGAGTGGAGGCAGAGACAGGCCCTATCTGTATCTGTGGTTTGACTCACGAACCCACGCCACTCCGCAGGCGAGTATTCTCAGATGCGCTGCTCCAATGATATTATTAATTGAATTATAAATTCAAGGTTTTATTGATGTCTCCGCTCAAACCCAGCTGCAGGTTGCCGGAGCCGGTGGCTGCAGCCCAGAGCCGGACCCTGAGCTGAACCTGAACCCTGCACCAGTCATCGGAACTCTAAATGCGCTACGTGATATGCCTAAAAATGTCCGTCTGCCCCCGCCCAACTAACTATGTCTGTGTCTCTGTTTTCATGGAATTTCAGCTGACTAACAGGGCTGGGACTCGGACTCCAGCTATTTTTTTTTTTTTCATTTGGGTTCCCGTGCCCGAGAGCCCGATCAGCTCTACCACTAAGGCAAACGGAGGAGAAGGAACGAATTCCCATAGATGGCGCACAATGGGTCGAAGTGGAAGTCATATTCCTCCTTCATATCCACTGTAGCTCAAAAATAGGGAGAAAAGACACAGTTTCCCGTCGGAGACCGAGCCCCGAGCGCTGCTCGATTAGCCATCAGAGGGGAACGGGCGAGATAACAAGTTGAACCGGTCCGTTGGTCCGTTTGTCCGTTGTTTGCTGGTCCGCAGTCCGCGGGACAGACGGGGCGAAGAGCAAAAGACATGTGAGTAGAAAGCCACAATCAGAAATTTAATAATGGCTGCACAAAAGGCAGCACGACGCGCGTTGACGTGCACATATTTTATGGGTTTTATACACAGGCAGTGAGGCAATGAGGCAATGAGGCAGTGCGGGTATCTGACGGATGCACATGCTACGCTCAGAGGGGAGAAAGGTGAAACGCCAGCAGGCCAGGCAACAGCAGAAGCGAATGAAGTCATCGAAAATGGCCACCAACGGATAGTACCTCTACCTCTCTACCTCTCTGCCTCTCAGCCACTCTGCCACTCCTACTCCACTACGACTGTCCGGTGAAAGCAGCTCACCTGCCCGACCTTCTGCCTGCCCTGCCCTTCTGCCGATCTGCTGATCTGCTGATCGTAGGACGCGATGGCGTATGACAGAAGGCGGCAGAGGCCTGGCCTGGTCTAGGACCAGTCCGGGTCCAGGAGCAGGAGCAGGAGCAGGAGCAGTCCCGATTCCGATTTGCGCCACCGATAAAAGTAACCAACGTGTTTTTCCATTTTATGACTTCATAAGTGGAACTTGGCTGCTTTTCTTGTTGTGCACGATTTTCCCTTTGTTCAGAGGAAAGTCGTTAAAATTTTCGGATAAGCTACATTCACATGAACCGGCTCGATATCGAGTTCACTTGGGAAAGTCTGTGAAACAATGGGAATGGAGTTGTAAATGTCAAAATTCTGAAATGCATCGCTTAATCGAGGATGCACCTGACTTTGACCCTGATCTGCATCTGCATCTGGCATCAGTTCGGGTGGGTCGCGTCGCGGCAGTCATTCCTTAGATGCCTCCGACGCCTCGGATGCCTCAGATGAGTCCGCTCGCCCAGCCGATCGGCGAGTAATTAGCCCGCTTGTTCAATTTCTCACGCCCATAAAATAAATCACTTCAACTTTCAAATGAATTCTTCATTGGCCACCACCCAAGTGGTCGTCGCCCCCTTTCCCGTCTCCGTCTGTGGCCCCTGTCCGTGGGCAAATCCACTCATAAGCGACTTTTTCTACGCTTTTGTGATTTTTGGCAATTGATTTAATGTGTCATTCATAGATTTTTATTGCACCGTTTTATTGCCGTCTTTAACTTCCGATTTACCACAATTGGCCCGCTTGGACACTGCCCCCGCGCCACTGCTATGCCAGATCCAATGACATTCCCATTCCCATTCCCACTCCCACTCCCGCCCAGTCCTTGGCGCGGTCCTGTGTGGGATCTTAACAGGGAAATCATGTACTCGCCGTACTTTACTTTATTTATTGCCATTTTTAATACCGCTCGACTCGCCAGCCTGGACATTTTAACGCCCTGCACGCTGGCCCGGATCTGGATCTGGATCTGGGCGGACGACCCTGGGTGACCGCGTGGGGCAGGGGCCAGGCACTTTATGTTACAATAATGTTCCCCCGACACTGGCCCCAGCCTGAAATCGAATTGTTTTGGCCATAAAAATCAAAAAGGTAATTCGAGCATCTCGGCTGGGCTCGGGTGCTTGCACCGCCACGCTTTTGGAGCCGAGCAGTTCCGACGGGAACTGTTTCACCGTTTACTCGCAATTATTGATTCAATTATCAAGCTAAGGGCCAGATTCGACTTATGTATTTATGTTATATCCACTTATGCTTACCAGCTTTTTTTGAAATCAACACAATTTGGCGAACGCTTCAGTGGGGAAAGTCAAATCTGAAAGAGCCAGACGAAAATTATGCAATTGATTTAGGAACATTTAGGGAATGGTTCTCAGATATGTAATTATCAGTACAGAATGTTAAATAATAATGTTAATACTTGGCAGCCTTTCCGGAAAGCAGCCTGCTGCAAAATGGCTTTTTACCTCCGAATGTATTTAATCTTGTAAAACACGTTGCAGAGGACAATGTGCGTCCTGGAAATCGTTTATACAGATGCGAGTAGATGAGTCAATTACGCAACGTTCTCGAACCTTTGGTTTTATAATAATTCCAAGCGCTTGAAGCCCAATGATACATATGTCTCTCGGGTCGACCCGAGTGCCGGGGGGGGGGATAGGGCGCACTCTGATAACGATAATTATAATGTTCTCCAAATCTTTTCTAATTATGGGCTGACGAACGGTTAAATCAACGCACTCGTATAATCCGTGGAAGAGCACAGGGCAGGGGCAGGGGCAGGGCGTCGTAAACGATCCGGAATAAATTCGATGCAGCTATATTTGTGTTGTTTGCTCGAATCACGAAGTAATGAACTTTTAAACATGTAAAACTTTAAATTCCCAAATTTATGGCCACTGGAACTGGACAGCCGTTTTTGGTATAAAAGCGTACGACATAATTTATGAACGACCCGCACACACTCGTACTCGGCCTGGACCAATCGAGGCCCATCGAGCCCGATCAGCGATCAGCGATCAGCGATCAGCGGTTGGATCGAAGGCGGAATGGGAATCGAATCGAATCGGGACTCGGGACTCGGGATTTTGGATTGGGATCAGCACACACTTGATGGCAGTCGGTCCGAAGAGCCGAAGGCAGGGAAATGACAGAGGAGCAGGCGGCGGCCGCAGAAAGCTAAACTGAGGCGCGGACGCGAACGCGCATGCGATAACGACTCCGAAATTGTTAGAGAGCAACTAACACTAAAAAAATTAAATTCAATATTTTGTTGTTTAGACGAAACGCCAACTGAAACGAAATCTGAAAAGGCAGACTGGCGAACCGAGCGCGAACGCGAATGGCGCGATTCCCGAGCGCCAGAGCCGGAGCGAGAGCGGTCTGTCTCCGATCTTCGAGCTCCGGTCTCCGGGCCCGAGCACGACAACGACAACGACAACGACCACGAACGCGATCGCGAGTCGCGAGTCGCAGTCATCGCTGTTCATATACCGCTAGCAGTAGCATGAGGGCCATTGGACGGCGGACCGGGGGACCGGGGTACCGAGGGACGGACGTCCAAGAAGAGAAACACACTAAACATTTTTTACATAGTATTATTTTGGGTTTTATTGCCTGGCGGATGGAGCGGACAGGCCGGACGGAGGGACTGAAAGAGACACAAAGACGCGAACAAGTGAACGTTCCAAATGCGATCTGGGATCGCAGGCGGTGGGATTGGGATTGGGATCCAGGGGCGTCGGCAGGGGGCTCATCTCCACACAAAGCCAGCCGACAAAGTCCACGAAAAATACGAGTATTCGCCTGGCCTGCTCTCCGTGTTTCTTCCCTATATTTTAATTATAACATTTTGTTGTGGCCCCGCGTATGTGTGTGTGTACGGGTATCTGTGTGAGTGCGGCCATTTCACAGCACACAAACACATGCGTGCCCAGGGCCCAAGTATCCCAGCAGTAACATTTTAGCCGAGGGCAAACTTTGCACATCTCGGCGTACTTTGCGGTTGGCTGACAGAGTCTGGCAAACGCTGCGTGAAAAGTCGCAGGGAAATTCCATGAAATCGTGGAAAACTTGGAAACTGTTTCGTGGCCGTGGCCGTGCCCATTCAGTCGAAAGTTCAAAAATGGGCCAGAAAGCGATTTGCATAGGAGCGGTAGCCGTGTTCTCCATGTCTGCAGGTGGACGAGAAAGTGGACGCAGATTGACTGAATTTGATTTCTAAATGGAGTCAGTATCTGGTGGCAATTACAGGTTCCAACCGCTGGATAAAAGCCGAGTACCACCAGCGGCCCCATCCTCTTGCGGGGCCATGCAAGTGCCTGTAATTTGCTGGGGAAATCATAAAACATCTTCGGCATCCTGATTCGCTTTGAAACCCGTTTGGCCAGCTCTGGGCTGCCAATCACAGCCGAACCTGTTTCGAGTCAAGTGCGAAAACAAAAAGCAGCTCTGAAATTGCAACTAAACTGAAAATCAAGTTGAGCTTTAATTAAAAACCTGGAAAATACAATTAAAAATACCCGTCAGCCACAGCAACTTGTGCAATTAACTGCTGCCGAGGCGAGAGAAAAAAAAACAAAAAAGCTAAAAGCAAGCAAAATTGTAGAAAAATCTTGGCTAAGTGTTGTGTGTAATTGGCCAACCAGCACCAGCTGGCGAGTGGAGAAGGCTGAACCTGAACCTGAAGCTGAAGCTGCGGCTGAGACTGAGGCTGGCCATGGGCACAAACGCGGACGCTGATCAGCGGCGCGTTGCCGCAGTCCGCAGCCCTCTACCGCTGCCCCGTCCCTCAACCAGCGGCCTTGGAGACGCCACTGCCGCTGATTGCGATTACCTATGCTCCATACCTGGCCTTTCCTTGCCCCACCTGGCCCTGGCGCAAGCGAACAAGATGAGCGCGTAACGAGCAGCGAGTTTTGGACGAGAATGCGCTGAAGTGAGTGATGGTGAGGGTTATGGTCCGTCCTCGGAAAGGGGGTCGGAAAGGAAGTAAGCGTGTTTCATAAATTGAAAGCACGGCTGCGGCACAGAAAACCGAAAATTATTAAGCCAAGCAGCTAGAAAGAAGAAGCAAAAACGCCATTTAGATGGCAATCTGGCGGTCAGGCCGCCGAGACCGACAACCAGCAAGAAGCAAGCAGCAACTGACGACGGACGGCGGACGGCGGACAGTGGGAAAGCGCTGGGCTTGAAAATGGCAGTCAACGGAGGAAGAAGCGAAAGCAGCGGGGCAGCGGGGCAGCGGCAGGGGGCTGCACAGTGTACACACACTCACGAAACAAAAACTCGGTCATAAAACGCTTCAAAATTGCGGCTTTGAGCCACAAAAAAACCAAACCCAAAGAAGCAGCACACAAAAAAAAAAAGCGAGTAATTATTTTTATTAAAGAAACCAAAAATGAGAAGTCCAACAGCGTCCAACGCTGGTTACCCGCGCCTCGGCTTTTTGTGCTGGTTTAATTAGGGCTGCTTCCACTTTGGGAAGAGGGAGAGTCCTAGAACTGATCCAATGTCACACTCCTCTGCTCACTACAGATGCACGGGGAGCTGTGGGTGCGTCTAAGACCCGAGATTAACCAAAAGGCATGTCAGCTGCAGGACACAAACATTTCTTTGGGATGCATACATCTCCATCTCAGCTAAATAAAGTGGACCAATAATTGCGAGTGCCAATTTACGGACATTTACGAAATATGCGGCGGCAGCCAATAGCGAAAATGTCGAAAGGGAACTGGAGATGGAGATGAGCCGGGACGGAAAGGGCCAAGCTGGAGGAATGGCAGTTTTCTATCCGTCATAAATAATGCTAACCTAAGCGCCACGGCTGAGGGAAAAACATGCACGGTCCATTAACTTTTGGCGGAGTGCAGCACTGGTGCGCCCTGCGTTCCCTCACCACCACCGCCATCAGCAGAGTCGCGGCTGCGGGACTGTACAGGGTGGAGGCAGGGGTAGCGGTCGGGGTACGGGGAAGCCAGTTCATACCCGACTTGGCGCTCTTCCCTACTTTTGACTGAGGTGCGTGTGTGTTGGGGCAAAGGTCACACTGAGGTTAAGTATATTCAGATCTCAGCTGAAATTTGCATTTGGCAAGCGTTTCTGCTCAGCTGCGTGACTGCTGCTGAGCAATTTATTTTATTATTCATATTACGTTAATTATATTCCAGCGATATAGAGTCGCCCGCAGCGCTCCTTCCTCTTAATCTTAAGCTTAAGTGCTAATAAAATTAATTGTGAAGTGCTTAAGGCGCCTAGGACTGTGCATTTAGTTGCAAAGCGAAGCTCGTTAAAACTGCATCAAACAGTGTGAGTCACGTGGAGATGGAGCCGCTCTAGAATCTGCACGAGTTAACTGCATTCGTGGCAGCAGTGTCTGGTGGGGAGCAATGTCATTCTCTGAAGTGCAGAGGCAAAATCCTTTCATTCTAAGTCTTTGTGTTAGAGCACATGCATTTCCTCTCCGTTAGGATCCGCCTATCCGCAAAATCGGATATTATATTATCATCCCCAAGCACCGCTCAAACAAGTAAGGAAAGCCACATACATACATATTACGTACCTATAATAGCTGGGGTTTAAGACACATAAAACAGAACATCAATTACAATGCGTTACCTACGATTATAAATCATGTAATAAACTAATCATCTTCACATTTCAATGATTTTCTGTTGACTACTTTCTTGAATAATATTGGAATCAGTTGGGCCTCCACGATCCATGAGATGAGTTTCTCGATCACTTACAGAACTCCCCTTCCCTGAGTACATTTCAATTTGCCCGAGTCCACTTTCATCCAAAAGTATCCGCAAGCAGCGGGCGAACTGCAGCAGCTGCAGCATTCACAAACCCTGGAGTCACGCCATGGCTGCCCCGCCTTTCTCGCAGTCGCAGAGCAGCCGCCATGAGTGTGCACGAAACTCAACAAACTCACCACGGCCATGCTGCTCGCTTAACGAGCAACGACTGGAGCGTAACGTAAGTGCGAACGAGCCAACGATCGCCCGATCGCTCTGGTCGCACTCGGGTCGCGTGCGCGAGAGAGAGGCAAGACCAATGGCTGACTGGGGATGAAATGGGCCCTGCCCACTTTCTGAGTGAGAGGCAAATGCACCGCGCAAAAATATGTACATACGGGTAATAAAAAGTAAACGCTTTTTAATTGTCGCCGATGCCGATGCCGATCACGATGACGATTTCGATGAATCACAATCGAAATGTCGAGCCGAACAATAGCGAGCAGAGCTCCGAAAGTACACAAACAACAAATCAAATCAGATCGCTTTTACTGTTAGCCTCACCGCCCGCGCCTTGAGTGCCTGATGGAATTATTGCTATTATAAAAAATATTTTGTTGGCTCATAAAAGCTGGCTTCTCTCCCCCTCACGATTGGACCCAGCGGTGGGTGTGGGTGTGGGTGTGGCAATGAATGCTCTGTGGGATTTGTGCGCGTGTATGTGTGTGTGTGTGTGGGTGGCGGTCGTGGTGTTGTCTATTGACGGGGAATCCGCCGCGCTGCGACGCTCGTCAAACGCCAAAACGCAAATACAATATTTTAAGGTCTAATTTTTTGACGAGTTTTTAAACGATTGTAAAACTCTTTTCCCGCCCGCTGCCCCGCTTTTACGAGTGCGAGGCCATTCGAGTGTTTTGAGCGAGTGAATTATGGGCCGGGCTAGGCAGGAGATAGTCAGGTCCTCTGCCGCTGCCACTGCCGCTGACGCTGCCTTCCCCATTGTGGCACCAGTCGCGTACCACAGAGAGCCAGAGCCAGAGCCAGAGCCACAGAAGCAAACATGGGGGAGAGCTAAGCGAGCCAGTGTGACAAAGCCGAGGCCGAGCAGGCTGTGTGGCGTTTATTACGTGAGTTATGACACCTTTGGCAGTCATTCGGGCCGCGGTCGGGCCAGACAAACTATTAACAATGGTTAATTAATTGCAAGCCAATAAAAGCCGCACTGAATACTGCATACGAATAGGAATATGCGCGGCGCTGGACAACGCTTCGATTCCGAATGGAATCCGCATCGTCAGGTAGCCCTCGTAAAAATGCCAATTACAGAAATCACAACAAATCATAAAGTTTTTTAATTGCACGCTCTGGCGGCAGGCCTTTGCCATTTCCCATTTCCAATGCCAGCCCATCCATCAATCAGCCAGCCAGTCCAGCAGTTCAGCAATCAATCAATATTTGAGCTGC